CCAGCACTTCGGAGGCAGAGGCAGGCGGATCTTTGTGAGTTCAAGGCCAGCCTGGTCTACATAGTGAGTTCCAGGACAGCTGGGGCTACAAGGAGACCCTGTCTCAAAAAAGACAAACAACAACAAAAGACCAAAAAAAGAAAGAAGAGAGCCACTAGGTCCAGGAAGTTAGCTCAGTGGGCAAAGCACTTGCCCAGCAAGTCTGAGGACCTGAGTTCAGATCCCCCAGAGCCACAAAAAAGCCAGAACAGTAATGCAGGAGTCTGAAATCCCAGTGCTCCTAGGGGAGATGGGAAGGGGGGACAGGAGACTCCCCAGGAGCTTAAGGACTAGCTAGCCTGGTGCACGTAGCAGTGAAGTCAAGAAACTGTCTCAGACAAGGCAGAAGGTGAGGACTGACACACAAGTTTTGTCCTCTGACCTCCATAGCACCCACAATCATGAACACACACACACTCTCTCTCATGCGCACATGACTAAAGATGGTCACTAGATAAAAGAATGCTAGAATCTTAGGCATTTTTGATAAATTTACTAAATGTATAGGGTATTTTAAATTTTTTTTACATTTTTATTTGTGTGTGTGTATGCAAGTGTGTGTGTGTGTGTGTGTGTGTGGTCAAAAGACAACTTTCAGGAGTTGGTTCTTCCACCGTGTGGGTCCTGGGATCAAATTTAATTCATCAGACTTGGCATCAAGTACCTTTATCCACTGATCCATCCTGTCAGGCTGGTATTTTGAAATAATAGCAGGTATATAAAATGCATCATGCAGTGCTATGATTGATTCACATACTCTGCTTCCCCTCACAACACACTGAGAACATGAGACAGGGTCTCCCTGTAGCCCCAGCTGTCCTGGAACTCACCATGTAGACCAGGCTGGCCTTGAACACACAGAGACCTGCCTGCCTCTGCCTCCCGAGTGCTGGGATTAAAGGCGTGTGCCACCATGCCAGGCAAGAACAGTTTTATTAATATCTCCATGTTATAGACAGGAGAGGCAAAGTAACTTCCTCAGTCACATAATAATTCTGGCTCCAGAGTCTGAGGCTGTCTGTTTTGTTTCTTTTCTTCTCTTTTTTTTTCTTTGGTCTTTTTGGAAAGACGGTCTCCCTATAGCCCCAGCTCGCCTGAAACTTGCTATGTAGACCAGGTTAGCTTTGAATTCACAGAGATCCACCTGCTTCTGCCTCCCAAATGCTGGAATTATAGGCATATGCTACCATGGAGGGCGTCTTAACATTTAATGTTTCTGAAAAATTGGGGTAGTGAACCTACATGCCTATATTTACACAGCCCCAAAAGGACAAAACAGAATTGTTGCTTGCTAATATGGAAATGGTTAAAACTTGCCACTTTTTAAAAATTTTGAATTAGACCTATTTCTCAACCATAATTCTTATAGTTATGTCTGTTTTGTGTTTTCTTTCTTTAGGTTCCCTTGCCAGCTCCATCTTTGATCCCCTCAAGTCTCTTGTGGGCGCTTCAGGAGGCGTCTATGCTCTGATGGGAGGCTATTTTATGAATGTTCTAGTGGTAAGAGTTTTGGGAGTGAAGTCTATGGACTTCAAAATTTTTAATTTAATTTTATTTTTGTGTTGATGAGTTATGAAGACAGGGTCTCATGCAGTTTAAGCTAGTCTGGAACTTGACATCCAGCAGAGGATGACCTTGACCTTGATCCTCATCTCAGTCCTGGCCTGGATCCTCATCCTTTCACTCCAGGTGCAAGGATTATAAATATGCACCACTATACCCCATTTCTGGACCTTTTAGGAAAAAAAAAACCCAACAGCTTGTCTGATTTGGGGAATCCTTATTTATATTTCTTGAGAAATTATGTTCTAGGAATTGTATGGTTCAACTGTAGTGGCCCCATGTATCAGGGTGTCACCAGGGAAGCTGACCCCTTTGAAACGCTAAATTTTCTTCCCAGGCAGCAAAGGCCATCCCAAGGTCTGTGAGATGACTCAGCAGGTAAAGGATCTTGCTGCCAAGCTTGAAGACCTGAGTTTGATCCCCAGGACCCACACAGAAAGACAGAACTGACTCTCGAAAGTTGTCCTCTGAGCTCGACACGTGTGCCACGGGCATGTGCATGTGCGGGCTCACGCATGCACACACACAAAGACATACACTCAAAGACATACAAGCAACACAAAATAAATAAAAATATATAATTTAAAAAATTTAAAAATATTTTACTATTTTTATTTTATGTATATGAGTGTATTGCCTGCATGTATGTAAGTAAGTGCACCCATGTTGTGCAATGCCTGAGGAGGTCAGAAGAGGGTGTCAAGGTTTCCTGGAACTGGAGTTATGGATGGTTGTTAGCTGCCATGTGAAACTCGAACCCGGGTCTTCTACAAAAGCAGTCAGTGCTCTTAACTGTTGAGCCATCTCTCCAGCCCCATAATTAAAAATTTTTAAAATGACAGTCTAGCTGGGCGTGGTGGTGCACTCCTTTAGTCCCAGCACTTGGGAGGCAGAGGCAGGCAGATCTCTGTGAGTTCAAGGCCAGCCTGGTCTACATAGTGCGTTCCAAGCCAGCTGGGACTATAGGGAGACCCTGTCTCAAAAAGACTAAAAAAAAAAAAAGCAGTTTACTTCTGGCACCCCCAGTTCTCCTAAAAATTAATGCTCAAATATTAGTTAAATGTTTCTTAACTACTACTGAAAAAAGAAAGGCTTAGAACTATTTCATCAGAATTAATTTGATAACATTTATTCATCTAATTAGCCATCATTTATTGACATGGTAAATGTTGATTTTATATTAAATTTAATTTGCTAATGAAATTGTACAATTTACATCATAAAATTAGACATTTTAGCCGAGTGTGGTGGCACATGCCTTTAATACCAGCACTTGGGAGGCAGAGGCAGGAGGATCTTTGTGAGTTCGAGGTCAGCCTGGTCTACATGGTGAGTTCCAGGACAGCTGGGGCTACAGGGAGACCCTTTCTCAAAAAGACAAAAAACAACAAAAAAATTAGATATTTTGTTTCTTTCTTTTCTTTTGAGACAGTCTTCCTATAGCCCCAGCTGTCCTGGAACTCGCTATGTAGACCAGGCTGGCTTTGATCTCATAGAAATCCACCTCCCTCTACCTCCTGAGTGCTGGGATTAAAGGATGGGCCACCACACCCTGGCTATATTTTGTTTCATTTTGTGATCCAAAGTTATACCAGCAGTGTTCTTTCCAGATACATTTGAAAACTGGGCTATCACACCTGTGGGTTGGTTTGCAAATATTTGGCACATAAACATTGTTTTAAATGAAATGGCAAATGAAGAGGGAGCAGAATTGAGATTCCATTTGCCTGTAGCTCATATTATTATTTATATCTCTTGCAGAATTTTCAAGAAATGATTCCTGCCTTTGGAATTATCAGACTACTCATCATCATCCTGATAGGTAAGTGAGCTTTGTGAACACTTTACACCTTCAGTCTCGTTTTTAATCTTCAGAAGGCTTTTTGCAGTTGCCCAGTTTAAGAGGATGATGGCTTGCTTGAGAGTCGGAAAGAGCCGTCAGCTTCAAAGTAGACCAGAAGGAGTAAGTGGAGGAATCTTCACGGCCCCTTGTGTGGCTGGTAGAGGTGACTTGATGATATGGCTTTACTTTTGTTTCTTCCTGAATTGAGGGGAGCCGGAAAACAGAGCTCAGGGTGCTCCCTGCACCCCTACCACATTGACGTCATTAATGTTTTATATGCCGAACTATCTCTTTCAGATCATGGAAACAAGATGATTTTTGTCTTGGAAGGGGAAACTTTTTCAGGCAGGGTCTCACTGTGTAGCCCATGCTGGCCTGGAACTCTATGTAGACTAGGCTGTCCTCGAACTCACAATCTTCCCGCCTCCTCCAGAGCGCTGGGGTTAAAAGTGTGCACACCATGCCCAGCAATGAAGGAAAGGTTTGGAAACCACTGAGATAATCCATCTTCTTCCTTAATTTCTAAATTTTCAATTTTTGAGGGGATGAAGGGGGGAAGTTTTGAAACAGGCTCTCATGTACCCCAGGATGGCCTGGAACTCACTTTGTAAAGGAGGATGGCCTTGAACTCCTGATCCTCCTGTCTCCACTTCCTGAGTGCTGACGTTACAAGCATGAACCACCACATCTGGTTTTTGTTGTTGTTGCTGTTTTTGGTCTTTTTGAGACAGGGTCTCCCTGTAGCCCCAGCTGGCCTGGAACTCACTATGTAGACCAGGCTGGCCTTGAACTCACAGAGATTCCTGCCTCCACCTCCCAAGTGCTGGGATTAAAGGTGTGCGCTCATACCTGGTTTTTTATGGAGCAAGGGATCCATTCCAGGGCTAGGCAAGCATTCTACCACCTTAGTTACATCCCCAGTGCCTTCTGCAACTCCAGTTCCAGGGATTTGATGCCCTCTTCTGACCTCCTTGGGCATATGGAGGGAATATACTCATACACATAAAATAAATAAATAATATTTTTTTTAAAAAATGAGGTTGGAAAATAAATAAATATTGACGGGAAAAAAAGTAATGTGCCTGGTATGTTTGGGAAATAGCAATGCAGTTGATCTGGTTGACTCAGTAGTTTTCAAAGTGTAAATCACCTGGGAACTTTTATTTTGTTTAAGATGGGGTTTTACAGCCACCTGAGAGTCTGTCTTGGTTTCTTCATGCATAAAACTCCACCATGGTCCCCACTTGGAATGTTGAGGCAAACTTCTAGCTGGTCTCCTTGCTCCTGTTCTTTCTTCCTATTTCCTATCTGGCAGCCAGAATGATCTTTATAAAACACAAGCCATCCCCAGCACCACAAAAAACAAAAGCAGAACAAACAAACAAACAAACAAACATCACAAGACAGATTCATATCACCTGTGTGCAAAACCTTTCAGAGCCTTCTCTTGCTCAGAGTAAATGACAAAGGTCTTGGCTCATAAGGCCCGTGTGTGTCTGTCCCCTGCTACCTGCCTGACATCATCACCTACCACTTTATCCCTAATTCAAATCCAGAATTGCCTGTGGGCAATTGCTACAACACAGGATGCTGAGCTTTATCTACAGCGTTTCTAGCTCACACAGCTGGCTTAAGCCAGATAATTTTCATTATTTCTAGTATGTGCTTAGTGCCAGCCTGGTGACTCAAGCCTATAATCCCAGCACTCTAGAGGCCAAGGCAGGAGAACTGATGCAAGTTTGAGGCTTCCCAAGTTACACAGTATGTTCAAGGTCAGCCTGGGATACATAGTAAACTATACCCCGTCTCAAGCAAAATAAAAATTCCCAGGTGATTTTTATAAAGTCATACTTTGGAAACCACTGAGCCAACAAGATCAACTGCACTGGTGTTTCCCAAACATACCAGACACATTCTTGTTTTTTCCTTCAATATATTTTTTAAAAATTTTATGTGTGTGAGTGTATTGCCTGCATATGCCCAAGGAGGTCAGAAGAGGGCATCAGATCCCTGGAACTGGAGTTACAGATGGTTGTTAGCTGTCCTGTGGGTGCTGGAATGCAGCTTGGGGTCTTCTGTAAGAACAGCCTAGGTTCTTAACCACTGAGCCATCTCTCCAGCCCCTGTGCCCATCCTTGTTTAAGGAGCTCTGTGCATGTTCTTCCTCTGTCAGGAAAATTCTTGTTTCATATATCAGTGTGACTTGCTCCATCCAATTTAGGATTTTCAGAGAATTTTACTGAGTCACCTACTAAAAAATCACAGGCAGGCCTATGAGACAGCTCATGGGTAAAAGAACCACAACCAAGCCTGATGTGAGTTCCACCCCAGGATCTCATGGCGGAAGTAGAGAACTAGCTTCTGCAAGTGGTCCTCTGACCTCCACACCTGTGCTATGGCACAAACATACACAAACACATACACAAAATAAAGTAATATAAAAAAATATTTTAGCCGGGCCTGGTGGTACAGGTCTTTAATCCCAGCACTCAGGAGGCAGATGCAGGCAGATCTCTGTGAGTCTAAGTCCAGCCTGTTCTGCATAGTGAGTTCCAGGCCAGCTAGGGCTACAGAGAGACCCTGTCTCAAAAAGGGCCCCCAAATTTTGTTTTTGGAAAAAAAAGGCACGTCTTCCTGACATCCCTAGTTCTCCCTTGTGTTTTTTCCACAGTACTCAGCATAACCTGACACACTTTATGCTTTCCTCAAATCTTCCCCCTCCCTCGCCTAGACTGTCAGCTCCATAGGCCAGAGCCATCTGTTCTGCCTACTGCTCTAAGTTTACTGTGAGAATAGAGCTGCTAGGTAGAGGATAATCAATAAAGAAAGACCAGTTGGATGAGTAAATCTACAAATGGGTTACTGGTAACGGTCCACTTCACAGGGCTGTTAAAGGATTAGTGAGTTAGTGAAGAGGGCCCTGCCAACAGCACCGTGCCTGTAGAGTGGAACTGTTGATAGAGGAGCAGAGACCCCGCCCCGCTATGGAGATTCTGGATTCATGAGGGTCTTTTCTTCTAGTTGCATCAGACATGGGATTTGCTCTTTACAGAAGATTCTTTGTTCCTACAAATGGGTCTCCGGTGAGTTTACATGCTTCCTTTTTAAAAATTATTTTGTGTTGTGTGTATGTGCATTCACATGTAGGTGGTCTTATAGAGGTCAGAGGACAACTTTCAGGAGCTAGTTCTCCTTCTACCTTGTTGAGGCAGGGTCTCTTCTTTCTGTCTCCCATCTCACTGAGGACGTGATGGGACTACAGTGGCCACTGTTGCACTTGGCTTTTACCTGGGTCCCTGGGTGTTTGAACTCAGACCATCTGGCTTGTGTAGCAAGCACTTTTACCTGTGGAGTTATCTCTCCAGCCCCACTTTTTATTTATTTATTTATTTATTTATTTATTTATTTATTTATTTATTTATATTTATATTATTTATTT